ACTCACGCTTTTTAATAACCTTTTCATAGAGTTACTTGAAGTGTTGTTTTGTCTTCATGGTGTAGTTCTATCCAGGAGTACCACCTTCCAGATATTACCATCACTGAGACACATTCACTGACCTCAGACCATCTTTATTTCACAACTGTGTGACTTCCAGCTCCTTTTTTGTTGTCTTGTACTGCATGCAGAGACAATAAAGTTGAATCTAATCTAATCTGATGTGTTTATCGCAGAGAACACTCAGTAAACAACATTAATTTCACTTTGGGATTTCCCTGCATCCTTCATTATGGAACAGTGTCAGACCTTTGTGGACTTCTTAAATATCATGTTTAATTTAATGAAGTTTAAGGTTTCAGGGATCAAATGTGCAGCTGTCAAGTCAGGAAATACAGCGGAATTCTCCTTTAATAGGATGTTTTACCAAATACTTAGTGTGTGCCATCAGGAATACGATATCTAAATAATATTATAACTTCACTGTGGTTGTGCATTTTCACACATTGTGCTCTTTCACTGCAATTAAGTAGAGGATTAATATAGAAGTCATATGATCACGCAGACACATAATTTAGTCACTTTCTAAGGATTTGAATAATCCTAATGCAGGACAGATGGAGGATGATCTGAACTGGATTTTGATTCGGCAAATAGTTCCGACTTCTGTCATATTTTCATCTCAACAAATGTCAGTTTAATTATGTCTAATTATGTCATTCGATAACAACCGAGCCATCTCCTTGACGACTCAATAGAAAACCACAAGATGTAGCTGAAAGATTCAGAAACGCAAAGTGAACGAAGACTGAACTGAGAATTATTCGTCAGACACGTCTCAGGTCTAATGTGGCCTAACGCTGGTGTATGACTCTGTGTTTGTTCAGAACTGGCACAAAGGATGCTTCCACTGCGAGGTTTGCAAGATGACCCTGAACATGAAGAACTACAAAGGCTACGACAAGAAGCCCTACTGCAATGCGTGAGTCCTGAATCTTTCTTTCTCTTAAAGGTCCCGTATGGTGAAAATACATCTTTATTGTGTTTTCATGGGTTGTGTCAACATAGGGCTGCAAAAAATAAAAAGATGTGAAGTCATTTACTTCCTCAATACCCCCCAACAACTAGAAAGACTCCCAGCAGTGAGAATTTGACCCAGGTGCTAGCTAGCCAATAGTCATCTAGCTTTACCTTTGCATAGCCCCGCCCCCTCACTGCTTCCAGGTGAACCAATCAGAATGACATTAGCTAACATTAGTTTTGTTGTTGGTAGTGGTAATAATAGTAACAACAGTCACAGTAGCAGTACTAATGGCAGATAGTAGTAGTAGTAATAGTAGTAGTCGTAGTAGTAGTTGCTTTGATGGAAGTAGTGGTAATAACATTAGTAATTACGATTAGGCAATAGAAATAGTAACTGTGCTAGTAGCAGCAGTAATGAGGCTATCATTAACTTTCATAGCAGTAGTGGTAGTAGTAGTAGTCGTAGTAGTAACAGTAGTAGTAGTAGCAGGAAAGTAGTAGAAAGTTAGTAGAAAGTAGTAGAAAGTTGGAAAAGACAGAAAGTCTTGTGGCGTCAGCAGACGTACAGTCAGCCATTCTTCTCCAAGCTGTCGCTCAAAGACGCAGGGAGAGTTTTCTTCCTGAAGGGGGCGGAGACAAATGGTTTAGTATGCTGAGAACAGGACGAAGACCAGGAGGTCTAAGAGGTGAAAGAAACCGTCTTTGTGGTGTTTTGAGCTGAAAAATATAAAATAAAAGGCACACTGAGGGGACACGTGATTTATTTCCTAAAAAAATGCACAATATGGGACCTTTAACACGACGAGCAACTTCACATGCCTTTGAATGTTTTGCCTGTTCCACCGTGTACTGCTGTCATAATCGCAGTCTGCTGATTGTTTGCTTGTTCCGCCTATGGACATGTTTCTGTTTCATATTTCTGAACCTCTCTGAGTGTAAACACCCTCCGCTGGCTGTAGCTGCTGTGTTATTTTGTGCATCTGCTCGTATCTTCGGGGTTTTTATAGCAGCGATGGTTTTGGTGTCGGTTGGTTTCAGTGGTTTCGGTTTGGAGCCCGGCCCTGCTGGTTCTGCTGAATCTGTCACTTCACTGCTAACATGCTCTGCTTGTTATTATCTGCATGGCTCGATACGCCACGCTGCCGTTTGTTGCCTGGAGAAAACATTTAGTTTGCGTGTTCAGACCTCCACAGATACAGAATGAAAAACCTCTCGAGGAGGCAGAACTTCAACGTGATGGACGTCTGGAGTAAATTACAGCTTGTGATGGAAACATCAGAGTAGTTTCTTAAAGGGAGGCCTTTGACCTCTGACCATGCTACTGATTATAATGTTGGCAGTCTGAGGGCTGAAGCCTCCAGTGTTTGTTGTGCTCGTAGTAACCTGCAAGGTCCATGTTAGAATTCCCCCATGTTCCCTAAACGCCTCACATCCATCTGTTGATGCTACAATTTACAGATGTTCAGCAAGCTTTTCATGCCCATTGATAGATGCTACAATTTACCAATGTTCCTTAAATACCTCATTTTCATTAGCAGACTCTATAATTTACAGATGTTCCCTAAATGCCGCACATCCATTGATGGACACTATGATTTACAGATGTTCCCTAAATGCCTCACATCCATTGATGGACGCTACTGTTCAAGTTCTTTGAGATATGCTACTGTTCACCGTTGTTCCTTAAATACCTCGAGTTCATCAGTAGACGCTATAATTTACGGCTGTTCCCTGACATCCATTAGTGGGCGCGACAATCTGCTGATGTCGCAAAACGCTTCATATCAGTTGGTAGACCTACATTTCACAAATGTTCCCTAAACGCCTCACTTCTGTTCGTAGACGCTCTAAAGACCTGACATGCAGACGTTCAATAGAAGCTGCAGTTTACAGATGTTCCCTAAACGCCTCACATTCATCAGTAGACAGAACAGTTTACTGATGTTTTCTAAGCCTTAGTTTCAAATGGCGGAAGATACAATTTACAGATGTCCTCTAAATGCCTCACATGCCGACTTTCATTCGACGTGAAATATTTACCAGTGTTTCCTGTTTACAGATGTTACATAGACGCCTCACTTCCATCGGTACGCGTTACAATTTACTATACTCCCTAAATTCCATACATGCATTGGTAACGGCTACACTTTACACCCGTTGGTCGACACTACCGTTTACAGAAGTTCCCTAAACACATCAC